GAGCGGCTGGGGCTGCAGGCAGCGGCTGCCCCACCAGCTGCTCCAGCTGTCTCGGCCCCGCATCTCTCCTTTCATATTCATAAGCAACACATTCATGCAGATTAATGGCGAAGCGCTCGGCGGGCGCTGCCAGCTGCTGCTGCTTGGGCCATGCCAACGCCGCGGTGCCCAGCACCTGCGGCCACCAGCCCCGCTCCGGGGACCCCAGGGGCTCTACACGGTGGCTTCACTGCAAAGCACATCACCCTCGGGGAGAAAAAAACCCAACCCTGGATGCAGCTCAGCCCCGCCAGCCCCTCGGTGCTGTCCCCAGGGGATGCTGGAGGGGGCTCGGCTTAGCCCTGGACACCGCGGGGAGTGTGTCCCTGGGGCTGGTGGCCATGGCTGCTCCTCACCCCCCCGGCGGGAGCTACTCCCGTAACGCCCCCCGTGGCTGGGGCAGCCCCAGCTGTGCAGCATCTTGTAAGGAAATTAACTTTTCATTGATCTCCTGGCTTTGAGCGGGGGATTAGAGCCCACATGCACCGCGGCCGGGCTCTCTCCTCTTTCCAAGGCCTTTTCAGAGCTGCTGTGGCAGGGAGGGACAACTGCCCTTGCTGGGCCGGTCCCATCTTCCCCCAGCTGGACTTGGCTCTTGGCTCCATTTTGGCTGCCCGGAGCTGGGCACGCCATCGGCACCCGTGGCTCCTTTTATAATTAGCTAATGACAGCATGGGCGTCCGGGTGAGGACTGAGCAGCAAGGCTGTCCCCCGGGACATGCATCACCCCGTCATACAGCATCTTGCCTGTGCACAGATAAAGCCACCTTCCAGGCCACCCATGGGTGCCCCCTTTCCCACCTACCTCCATCCATCCCACCCTGGCCCTGCCAGGGGGGGGGCTCTGACAGCAGATTTGGGGTATAATATTGTCTCTGGCAACCAGAAAAGCAAGGAAACAGCCCCGCGAGCTGCAGAGCCGGGAGTACCGCAGTAATAAACGGCAGGTTGAGGCTGGAGATTGGTGCCGCCGGTATGAAAAGGAGAACAGGCGGGTTCGGAGCCTCCGCCGGCTAATTAAGCAGCAGCTCCCTATAATGCGAAGGCCTTTTCTTTGCCGATAAGACCCATTTATAATGGGCTGAGCGGTCGCAGGCTGAGTGCTGGGAGGAAACAATTGGAAAGCATATTGCTAGTGGGGATGGGTTTTAAAAATAGACATGAAGGGCTTGCTTCTGGGCATTTCCCCCTTCTTAGGAAACAGCCCCGCGAGCTGCAGAGCCGGGAGTACCGCAGTAATAAACGGCAGGTTGAGGCTGGAGATTGGTGCCGCCGGTATGAAAAGGAGAACAGGCGGGTTCGGAGCCTCCGCCGGCTAATTAAGCAGCAGCTCCCTATAATGCGAAGGCCTTTTCTTTGCCGATAAGACCCATTTATAATGGGCTGAGCGGTCGCAGGCTGAGTGCTGGGAGGAAACAATTGGAAAGCATATTGCTAGTGGGGATGGGTTTTAAAAATAGACATGAAGGGCTTGCTTCTGGGCATTTTTTTTTCCCCCTTCTTTTTTTTTTTTAATAAAAAAGAGAAGAAAGCAGCTCAGAGCTGCGCTGAGAGTTTCCCGTGGCCTAGAGGAAGAGCAGGGCTCTGAGGAGAGCACCAAGCATCCCGTGAACCCGGCGGGAACGCTTCAAAGCAGGGAGGATGGCATTGGATCGGGCTCCTAGCCGAGCGGTCCCCAGGGATGGATGGGGAAACTATCCTGAGGGAGGGGAACAGGGCTGCACACGCTGTTCTTGCCACGGCCACGCATTGGCATTGGGATGGGAGCAGGGGGACGGCATGTGCCCGCTTCTCCTCGTGCCTCCCAGGCTGCGCTGGGCTCCAGCCAGCCCCCTGCAAACCGCAGCGGCTGAGGGGGAACTCGCAGCCCAGCCCTCGCACTGGTCCCTGGCCCCGCTTCACCCAGGACCGACCCCACGGTGAAGAGCCTTGACCAGGTCCCTCGGCGAGGATGGGAGGAAAATCATATGAGAAACGTGGCCGGTGAGTGGCTTGATCCTTCCGCAGTGCAGGGTCCAGCCCCGCCGGGTTAACCATGCGGGTTAACACGCGGGAGTGCTGCCAGCGGATAATTCCCGGGGCCGATACGCTGGCACCTGGATGCCAGCCCGGGAGATAGAGTCTGGGAGGGAGGCCAGGACACCCGCGTCCCAGCCCTGGAGATAGGGTGCCGGGCTGGAAGCCAGGGCTCCTGCCTTCTTCCCTTCACTTCCAGTTGTTTCTCCTCTGCCCTGCTGCCCCGGGAGCTGCCGGCAGCAGGGTGCAGCCCCTTGCTCAGGCCAAGCCCCCATCAATACAATCTAAAGCGATGGGAAAGCTCCACAGGTTGAAAAAAGGAAATACTTAATATTTTTAACCTCTAGCGAGCACCCGATCTGCATTCCCCCCGCCCCTGGGAATCCTGGCTGGTTTGCAGCATCAAGCAGTAAATATTTATTTAACTTCCTGCAGTATTAGAACTAATCACTAGTATTTTCCATCAAAGCTTCATTTTCATCTTAATGTAATTCCATCTGTGCATGCACAGCCGCATCCTGCTCGCTGGAAAGGCAGCTCTGAGGCTGTCGGCTGCACCCGCTGTCAGCAGAGACGGGGGGTCTGTCTCATCTCGTCTCGGAGCACAGACCGGGAGACCCGTGTCCCAGCCTGGCTCCTCCGTGGGTTTCCCATGGGATCCTCATTCATGATGCAGGGATCCCATGAGCAATGCCATTGCTTGCCCCGGGAGCTCTGAGCCATCACCAAGGGCTCGCAAACGACCCGATTCCCGAATAATCTGGCAACAACTTCCATCACTCGAGGTCCCAACGCCCCCAGTGCCCCATCACAGCAGAGACAGCTTCATCCCGCCGGGAGCCACAATGGACTTGCCCTCGGCAAAGCCCTGGGTCTGGATGCAATCCCGATGCCCTGGTAGCATCAGATCCCCCTTTGCCTCCCACCACCAGCTTCCAACAGCCCAAATCCTGGGCAGGTGACACCTCCCACCACCAGATCAGCCCGAAAAGCAATTCTTACTGTCTTTGCGGTAGTAGAGGATCTCGAGCTTGCACTCCTCGGAGCCGAGCAGGGCCTGGGTGAGCTGCGCGATGGAGCTCTTGGTGGTGTCGGGGCCGGTGAGGAAGTCGCAGGTGCAGGGTCGCTGCATCACCTCCACGCGGGAGTAGCCGAACATCTCGCAGAAGCCATCGTTGCAGTAGATGATGGTGCAATTCTCCATCTGGGCGTTGGCGATGAGAAACTTGCGGTCTGCGGGGAGGCAGGGGAGCACGAGGCTTAGAGGGGTGGTGGGCACCCGCAGCGATGGGGGACAGCCTGGGTGGATGGGGGGTGCTGGGGCTTTTTGATGCCACCCGCTGTGGGGCTTGTGCAGGGACGGGCTCCCCAGGGACACTGGTGGTGACAGGTCTGGGGGGGAGGATAGCTGGCGCCAGCCCACGCTGCCCTGGGTGCTACCCTGCTCTTCAGAGGGAGAAAATTCCCCCGATTTCATGTGAATAGGTGACTGTGGGGACAGGGGGACCCAAAGCGGGGGTCCCCAGTAAAGGCAGTTTTTGCTGGGGTGGGCCAACCCGTGCAGCCTCGACATCTCACCGCTCGCATGTGGGGACTCGCTGCTGTCTAATACATGGGCAATCTGTCCCCGACCGGCACTGCAGGCAGAGGGAAGAGCTGCAGCGTCCGTCCCTCCCCAGGAGCTTATCAGGGACCTGAGTTATCTCGGAGACTTCCCACCCTTGCTCAGATTTGACTGAAGTCAGGCAAGGGACAAGAGGAGGAGTGAGCGTGAGGCTTGGCTTCGTGGGAAGCCGGGTGAAACCTGTCACACTAATGGTTCTGCCAGTGTTTTACAGGATAATTGTGCCTTCGGGCTAAGGCTGAAATCCAGACCCTGCTGGGCTGCGTGGCCCCTGTGCTCAAGAAGAAAAGGGCTCAGGTGGAGGAAAGGGGAAACTGAGGCAGTGGTGCTGCCCTGGTGCAGGGGAGTGGTGCTGCCCCATCCCCTCCTGGTGCTGCAGCCACCTGGGCTGGGGCCGGACTCGCTGTCATACCGGGGTGTGTGGCAGTGCTGCCCAGCCCACGTCAGCCAGCCCAGACGGAGCCGCTTCCATTCTTATCCTGGGGGAGACCCAGCCTAGAGCTTTGATTTGGTTTGATTTTTGTTTTTTTCAAGGAGATCGGGGGGTGCTGGGCTGGGGAGGACCCTCTCTGGGACAGGTTTGCTGGGATGTGACAGAGGGCTGGCGATGCTGATGTGATGGA